AACTGATCAATGTTTCTCTCTCTCCCTTCTTCTCCCTCTGAAGTCCATAAACATAGCCTTGGGTGAGGATTTTAAAAAACGCCTGTGGCTCTCTACATAACAACAAAAACAAAAAATCAATATAATTAAAAAGAAGAAAGATAGCAATTGTGAAATCACAAGAGGCTGCAGGAGGAAAAGCAGGGACGGGGTCCTCTGAGCCCCGAGAGGACAGGACGGCCTCTCCTCGGCCTCCCTCTTGCTGAGGGGAACGGAAGGGACTGCGATGGCCCCGCGTTGCCATGAGCACAGTTAAATTTGAGGAGACAGAGACCAGCGTCCAGGCCCCGCCTACCATCCAGGGCTTTGCAGACCTGTGGTCAGGAGCCCAGCCAGCTGTGTGGTGAGAGGGGTGTGAGCTCCAGGTGCTGGCAGCGAAGAGACCCCCAGGCAGCACCTCCTGCCCACAGAGCCTGACCTGGGGGCCAATGCCCTTGCTGGTCCCTGAAGCCTCTGCACCCAGCTCGGCCCAGAGCCTTTCTCCTGGGGCCATGGGGGAGCTGGGAGTAGGTCCCCCCAAAGCGGGTCTGAGCCCCAGGGACACCAGCTTGCAGAGAATGAAGTACCTGCCTGCTTTGCAGACTTCAAACGTGAAAATGACCTGGAACTTTCTGTCAGGAGAACAGGAAGGGGAGGGGCATTGCCTCCCAGTCCCTTAGGAAGCCTGGGGCCGGCCCTCCTCCCTCAAGTCCTGGGAAGGATCCTGCAGTGACATCAACCCCTGGGAGAGCTCAGATCCCCACTGGCCACCCCCTTGGCTCTGCCTCAACAGCACCTCCCCCTGCAGGCGGGGCTGACACCAATGGAAAAGACCAGGCATGCTGAGCCCGTGGCCATTAGAGAAGCATCCTGCACCCTCCAAGGAGCTTGGACCCTTGGGACCAGGGTCATGCAGAGTGCGGTGGGGGCGGGGCCAGCGCCAGGACAGCTGCTCCTGCAAGACCCAGGCGTCCCCCTCCCTCCAGATCACTGCCCACAAGAAGCACAACTCTATCCTCCACCAGAGGGACCTGCAGGGTCAGCAAGAGGACCAATAAGGCAGCACAGGAGTCCAGCCCAGCTGTGGCCTTCGTCCCCTGATGAGGCCCTAAAGGACAGATCCGTACAGAGAACTGAAGGGGGAGGGAAGGTGTGCACCCAGCTCGCAGGTCTTGGACATGAAAGTCACCTCCAGGGCACCAGGCGCGGGACTTCCTGTGCAGGAGCTGCTCACTGAGTGCAGCGGAGGAAGCAGGAAAGCGGATGAGGCCACACACTCCCCAGCCCACCTCCCCGGTGGGTTCCCAGTGCTGAGAGCCTCCCCTCCCTCAAAGAAGCTTCCAGAGACAAGGAGGGGCAGTGGGTGTGGAGGTAACTAACCAGGGCCGACTATCAGATCCTGATTGAGTTTCAGCCAACAAAGTCCAAGCAAGAACTGCAGCATCAGGTGACCTCCCGCAGGAGCCAAGGTGGGCAGTGGACTGAGTACTAGTTTGGTGATGGGGTGTCCTCCAAGGTCGGGTACCTGTGACTGGGATGTGTCTTGGACAGGAGGCGAGTGCGGAGTTCTGATCTGTGGTTCTGTTCTCCTGCAAGGGAAGTGGCCAGAGAAGGACTAAGTGGATCTCAGGGAGTGTGAGACATCGCCGATATGGGGGACTGAGCACATAGTCACAAGGGACCTGCCGAGGATGGAAACAAAAATTCCCGCCCTGGGGAATGCTCTCCCCATATAGCCCACTGGGAGATGCTGAGGTTCTGGGAAGGGCAGTCCCCGACCCAGCGACAGGAGGCATTGATCTGCTTCAGTGGTTTTCTTAATGCAGGACCTTCTGTGTCTGTGGGTCATGCCCACTCATATGAGTGTTTCTGTTGATGTTTTGTGTCTGTTTGTTATTTGGATTAATTTGTTTAAAGATGGGGCACGTCCGGCTCTGGGGATCCCAGCTACTGTGGCGAGGCTGACCACCTGGCAGAGACTGCAGGATCATCTCAGCAGCTGCTGAGAATTCTTCATCTTGGGGAGCTTCCTGCTTTCCCTCCCAGGGTGTCAGCCGCCAGAAACTCTTAGCTAGTGAGAAGTTTTTGTCTGTGTGTCTGTAATGTAATTTTGGTTACTGATTTCTATCTTTTGGGGACTTAGTTTGCTGGGGACAAAGATTACACAGGAAAGTAGGGATCACAGGCAGGGGAAGTCAGCAACATGGGCTGGGGTGGGACTCCATTGTTTGGGCAACAAAGTTAATGTCTCCATGATAATGGGCGGTTCTTGAGTGAGAATGGACCACATTCCAAGTTTGACTCCCAGATCCAAGGTTGAATCCCAGGTCCTAGGGACATGTAACTTAATATTTTGAGTTTGCTGAGTCAAATAGTAAAAAATATTGAATATCAAACTATTTTTAAATAACAGGATACTTAAATGTTAATCTCAGTATGCCTCATGTAGAGAATCTAGAGGATAGATTTGAATCTGTTAATGAATAAGTATTGTACTATTTTTAAAAATCTGAATATATTGCTAATCTGAGAAATGTTAATTCTAACTAATTGGATGAATAGAATAGGAAACTGCAATGGGTAAACAGGAATTTGGAGTTATCTAGTAAATCCTATCTTCCCTAACACAAGGACACTTAAGAGTAAATGATTCACATTTTACCTCCCTAACCATAGGACAAATAGCTTATATCAATGCACTCAGGGAGACAGATATGTGCGTAACCCATGGACACTGACAGTAGTGTGGTGAAGGCCTGGGATGGAGGGCAGGGCCAGGTAGAAGGGGTCAATGGGGGAGGGTAGGAGAATATATACCAGAAGCCTGGTGCACAAAATGTGTGCACAGAAGCGGGGTGTCCCTCAGCCCAGCCTGCACCCTCTCCAATCTGGGACCCCTTGGGGGATATCCGACTACAGGTCGAGGCCCGATCCCACAGGTAGTCAGACATCCCTCTCACAATCCAGGACTGCTGGCTCCTAACCACTCAACTGCCTGATTGCCCCTAACCACTTCTGTCAGCCTGATTGGCCCCCTAACTGCTCCCTTGCTGGCTTAATTGACACCTAACTGTTCCCCTGCTGCCCTGATCGCCCCCAACTGCCCTCCCCTGCTGGCCCGATTACCCCCAACTGCCCTCCTCTGCTGGCCCGATTGCCCCCAACTGCCCTCCCCTGCAGGCCTGGTCCCCACAACTCCCCTCTCCTACCACCATGGTCCCCCCAACTGTCCTCTCCTGCCAGCCAGGTCACCTCCAACTGCCCTACCCTGCAGGCCTGGATGACCCCAACTGCCCTCACTTGCCGGCCATCTTGTGGTGGCCATCTTGTGATGAAGTGGGGGTGGCCATCTTGTGGAGACAGTCTTGTGATGATGTGAGGGCATCACGAGAGGGCATGAGGGCCACCTAGTCTTTTATTAGTATATATACACTAAGAGGCCAGATTATTATGACCACCCCATCAGTACTTTGTTGGGCCACCTTTTGCCTTCAATACTGCAGCGATTCTTCTTGACATTGACTCCATGAGATGTTGAAAGGTGATGCGAGGAATCTGACACCATTCCTGATGAATAGCACTGTCCAGTTCTGTGAGATTTGATGGTTGTGGAACCAACTGTCTGATGGCTTTTAACTTCGTCCCACAAATGCTCAATTGGATTGAGATCTAGTGATTGTAGGGGCCACCTAAGCAAGGAAAAGTCTCCCTCATGTTCTTGAACCACTCCTGCAAAATAAGAGCACCGTGGCATGGCGCATTGTCTTGTTGCAAGAAGCCATCTCCATTGGGATACGCCATCAACATGATAGGATGAACTTGATCAGCAACAATACTTAGGTATATTGTGCTATTCAGACGTTGTTCCACATGAATTAAAGGGCCCAAATCATGCCAGAAAAACATGCCCCAAACCATAACACTGCCCCCACCTGCTTGAAGGGTTGTACTCATGCATGTGGGGTGCATGCTTTCATGCTGTTTCCACCAAATTCTCACTCTGCCATCTGCATGATGCAACTGGAAAGGTGAATCATCGGACCACATGACTTTTTTCCAAAGCTCAACTGTCCAATCCTTGTGTTCCTGTGCTTGGGTAACTGTCATGGTAAACAACCTGCTTCCCTATTTATAATGGTTTTGCACTCTAGCAACTTCAGCGCAAAATTACAGCTAATTTGCCTACAAACATCAGGTGGTCATAATAATCTGGCCACTCAGTGTATATATATATATTATTTCAAAAATAAACATTTTAAAAAATAGGACCAAATGGAAGGCCTCCTAACTTGCAATCACCTCCCTCACCCTCAGTTCCCAGTACAATCACTCATCCATTTGCAAAACGGCTCTGTCTGCAGTGAGAGAGACGAATGCTCCCCAAAGGCTCCAACTTGTGTGCTCATCACTGACCAGTGCAGAGCTGCCTCACAATAGGACCCAACACAGTGTTTCTGACACAACCAGACCAAACCTTTAAGCACTAAATCAAAGCAATGATTTTAATGCAGGAAATTTTAAATTTCAGAAGAGGACCTTCTTACTTAATCTCTGACCTGCAACAGATGATGGGGTTCATCTCTGATGCTGATTGGTTCTCAGTACTGAGATGATCCAATCCAGGAACAAAGAACAGAGTTCCTCAGTTGGTGTTTCTGGGGATGTGGGTGGAGAAGGGTCACAGTCCTCACTGAGTGAGACCCCCCTGCTCCCTGCCCCTGTCCTCTCTGAGCTCCAGCATGGTGTGTCTGCGGTTCCCCGGAGGCTCCTGGATGGCCGCTCTGATGGTGATGCTGATGGCACTGAGCCCTCCCCTGGCTCAGGCCAGGGACACTCCACGTAAGTGCACCTTGGGGGTGAGCTGTTGTCGGGGAGGAAGAAAGGGAATTAGCTTTGTCACCGTGTCCAGGCCATGTCCATTAGAAAATGGTGGCATTTTCCTCAGTGGCCACCTGCCTTTACCATATGGATCCCGATTCTTTCCAGCACAAAAGGGGCTGGTGCTCGCCACTATGAGATGTGCAAGGGGCTCCATGGATCTCAGCTGTTTCTTCTCACCTCGCCTCCAGTAAACCCTCCCCAGCCTGTGTCCCCTTCCATAGGGGCCTTGAGAGGATTGAGAAATAATGATCTCAGACTGATTCCCACCCAGTGCTCCATTTATTGTATTGAGTTATCCCCAAAGGAACATTTCTCTGGCATTTTATGGGGAGTCAAAGGAATTAGAGGGTCTCTCTTTGAGGATTCTGTGTTCTGTCCTCAGCAGAATCTGTGATGTTGGTGCCTCTCCCTACTATGTGAGATGACTCAAGGGGCGTCCCCACCATCTCCTTTCCTTTCTCCGTGAACCCCTTAAGACAGAAAAAAATCAGAGCAATAATTGCTTTGAAAAAAAATACCCCCGGTTTATGGGACAGAGAGCATGGACTCACCTGACATCAGTTCAAGTGCTGAGGAAGTGACATTGAGACCTGGATGATGAGAAGCCACCGTGAGAAGATCTAGGGGACAAGTGTCCCAGGGAGAGGGAGAGGGAGAGGCCACAGTGTGGGAAGGTGTTTGGGTGTTGAAGGGGCAGGAAGAAGGCTAGTGAGGCGGCAGCAAGCGAGCAAGTTGGGGAATGACATTGACATAGGAAGAGGCTGGGGGAGACGGGAGACAAACCATATTGGGCCCTGACAGGCGGGTAAGAAGTTTGAATTTTATCTGAAGAGACATGTGAACTTCTAAGGGTTACAGGAGATTTCACGTATGCTTATTAAAAACAATAATCCCAGCTACAAGGGGGGATTGGATTGCAGGATTCAGAAGTGGAGTTGAGGGCCCTTGAGGAGCATGGAAGAGCGCCCAGGTGACGGGCTTGGGCTTCAGTTAGTGTGTGCGGCAAAGGCAGCGGGAAAGGGGAAGTGAACAGATATTTCCACGACTCATTCTGGATGAAATGGGGAAGGAGTCACAATCCCTAAGGATTTTATCTTGGACAATATGAATAAACTTGGTGGAGCTGTGTGTTGAGATGGGAACAATTGTGTAAGAAGTAATTTGAAGGGGGTGGTTAGGAATGAATGTTTTATGTAGATTTGAAATGATTTTTTGACATTTTTTAAAAAATATATTTTATTGATTTTTTACAGAGAGGAAGGGAGAGGGATAGAGAGTTAGAAACATAGATGAGAGAGAAACATCGACCAGCTGCCTCCTGCACATCTCCTACTGGGGATGTGCCCGCAACCAACGTACATGCCCTTGACCAGAATCGAACCCGGGACCTTTCAGTCCGCAGGCCGACGCTCTATCCACTGAGCCAAACCGGTTTCGGCAATTTTTTGACATTTATGTGGAGCTGTCAAGAGGTCAGTTGGACACAGGAACCTGGAGTTCATGGCCGGCCAGGGCAGGGAGTGTTTGTGTTGGTGTCATTGACACATGTGCTGTGTTAAACTCCAGGGAAGTGGAGAAGGGGGAGGAGGAGGAGGAGAAAGAGAGAGAGAGAGAGAGAGAGAGAGAGAGAGAGAGAGAGAGAGAGAGAAGCAGAGGAGAAAATGCCAAAGGTGGAGCCCAGAGGACCAAGGTCCAATGAGAGCAGAGGAGACAGAAGGGGTGCAGTGTGTTGAGGGAAACCAAGAGAAAGTGATGTAGGGCAGTGAGGGGAAGTAGATTTTTCTAGGAGGGAGTAGCCAGATGGGTGAGAACCACTAGGAGGCAGGTAAGTGAGAAAATGCAGAGCAGTGAGCATTGAGTTTGGTGGACATGACATTCACAGACAGTGGAGTGTATGAGATGGAACCTGATTGGACTGTTTGAAGAGCTGAAGACGTGAGAGATGATTACAGGTGCCTCTGAGCAGCGACCTCAGGGAGACTGTGTGCTGGGCTCAGGGAGTCAGCTGGACCTAAAGCATAAGAACAAAGGAGCCTGAAGAGAACCTGGGGGACTTGAGAACCAGAGATGCTCAGTCATCAGCAAGGAGCCACGGGAGTGACCTTGAAGGCAGAGGTGACTGTTATGAAAGCCACCAATTCCACAGCCACCGTTTATTTGTGACCAGAGCAGACAGTCACCACCTGGGGATGAGGGTGGAGTCATGGACAAGACAAATCTGGTCCCTGTGGCATGGATCAGCGTCACAGTGGGCAGTTACTGTGCACCAGGCCTACATTTGAGTGTGTGACTCTCATAACCATCCTGTCTCACCTGCAGCAATTACAGATATAATCACCCATGGAATCTAATTCAGAGATGGCATTGCCTTCACCTGAGATGTGCCCCCTCCCCGACATACAGGGACCTTCCCCCACATCCTGTCACTCAGAGGCCCTGGCTCTGCCCTGATGGAACTTGGACCCTGTGGTCCCAGCTCCAGGCCCCCTTTCCTGCCATCTCCCTCCTGTGTGGATGCGCCTGTGGTTGGGTGTGATGGGCACTTTGGTGAATTCTAAGCTGCAGAGCAGAGGGCGATGCCCGGTTTCCTTCCTGGGTCCCGGGCAGCTGGGGCCTGGCACGAGGTCCCCTGCCCAGGTGGTGACAGAAGGAGGCCGGTGTGGGAAAGGGAGAGGCTGAGGGTGAGGGCGGGGGCTTCTAGGAGGAGGCAGTGATGGCACAGTCTTCGCCCAGCCTGGAGCCCAGAGCCCCACAGGAAGCCCAAAGGGTCCCAGTGGCTGAGGGTCCCAGGAGTCTCCCTGCCCTGCAGCCTCCCTTCAGCCCCAGATGAGGGGCCCCTGGATGCTGGCAGTGGGGGTGCTGGGGTCCTGTTGAGGAGGAAACTGGTCTTGCAAGGAGTCTCAGGCCATAAAAACTGTGAACAATGCACAGCCCTAGGAAGGTGGGGGGAGGTCATTATCACTGGCCCCAGGACAGATCGTTGGATATGGCCTGGGGACCCCCAATACCTTGGGGCCTTCCTGTAAGCCCACAAATGGGGGCAGAACCATATCTGCAAGACAAAGACTTCAAAAGGTTATATAAAGTGAAGCCTTCTGGGTGTTACTCATTCTGATTTGGAAATTATTCCCGGGAGTCCACTATTGTTA